GTCAAACTAAAGTAAATTGCAGTAAAGTTTGAAATCTGTTTAGACTGTTAATATGCAGGGGACAATTTTGAAGCCTACTGTATCGAATACATAATGGCTATAGATGAAGTCAGGTATTTTACAAAATACCTGTGTAAATTTGTAAAATCTAGTATTTAGGAATGATCCTTTATCCCAAGTATTTTCATAACATGTACATTGTACATGGCACATAAAGTTGTATCCTTATGTAAAGATTAGTTAAATCTACTGTAAACCCACCAAGGGTTCATTCCCCTATGTACATAATCTTAAATAAGTTTGTTACTCTCAGCCAGAGAAATGATGCAGTAACAAATCCAATCTAAAAATAAAGCCAAACAAACCAGACCCAGTCTATAAAAGAGTGTTGAACTCTGGGTATGGTTGCAACCTGAAATACATAACGGAGTAGGTGGAGAAGCGTATAGAACCCCCTTCCTTATTTAGAAGCAGCAAGGCAGTCCTGTCTAAGGGGCAGCTAGGGTGTGATCGATGCTGGAGAAAGGAGATAACAGCATTTATTTTGCAGGCAGAGAAGCAGATCGTTGGCCATTGGTTGGTCGCAAAAATTCAATCTTAATCACATAAAGGGGTTGAATTTTCTTACTGGTATCCTTGTAATTTGATACTTTTAAAATCAGATCACTTGATAATGCCTTTACAGCGGAAACTGCCTTAAGAGCTTGATAACGTGATGGGTGGGAGGGAGAAGACATTCAGCCTCAGAAAGTGATGGGGATGTTATGAGGAGTACTTTAAACCCCAATGAGCCTCGTCAAGTAAATAAACGATATTCTGACAGGAGCAATGGGATTTATGCTTCAAATGCTTTATGCTAGTGATTTATGCTTCTACAGACTAAAATTCAAACAAAGTCTTGGGATTTCTAGTGCTATTGAGAAATTGAGATATGATTTCTTAAATATTAAAGCTGAGATTGAGGAGGGGGGGGGGGGGAATTGTTTCAAATTCATGTCAACCCATGGAGTTTATTAAATCTAAATATGGCGGGATTTGCAAGAATATTGAGCAATGAATTTCGGGGGTTCTTCTAGTTAGGGGGATTTTCCTTTGTTAGGGAATTAAATAGTCTCAAGGATATATCTTGAGAAGAGCCATTGCTGGATGTGATGATGATTAGGATGAAGATGTTCCACAAACCTACCAGACCAATCTGCCACATCGTAATAATTCAGCAGTGATGAATTTGTTGGAAAACCGAAGTATGAATCAAGATGATGTGTTCAATAACAACCAGGGTATTCAAAGTTCGATGAACCTAGTTGAAAATCTATCTGGAGGAAGAGATCCAAGGATGGCAATAGTGGGCAAACCAGGAGTGATATAGTCGGTACCAAAAACCAAGAGTCTAATATGTTTGCAGTGTACGGGAAACCCTGTTCCTAGGTCAAATTCAGGGTATTTCACCTATGCTAGGCACAAAGACTACACTGTTTAACCCAGGACTAAACACAATTAGTTCTGAAATGCCTCTTTCCATAAACAACATCTTGGATGGTATACAAGATCAGAGATCCAACCCCTCAGCTGGAGTGCAAGCAATGGCTAACTACCTCGTATCCTTTGTGAACAGTTTCCCAGCTAAATTAACATGGCTAGGTGAAGTGCAGAATGGTCAAAATAGAGATGTTATTTTTGCAAACTCTTGCAGGGTTATGATACAATGTGTAATGCTACAAAGACTGCAGTGCAAGAGTTGATGATAAGTAACTGTGAGTTGAGTCTCACAATGGAGAGGGTATAAGCTAACTAATCTCAGCTCAGAGATCCAGGATTGCTGTGAAGACCTGAGAGAGAGATCCAGAACTGAAGTACCACCTGAGGTAGTCTCTACAATGCAAGAAATAATATTGGATAGCGCTCCTGGTATTGCAGTTGAGTCTCTAGGAGGCGAGATCAAAGATGTCAGATGTCCATACCAACCAAAAAATCACTGAATGATTACAGAATCTAGTAATAAGCTTCACTGAATAGAGATGAAACCTTCCTAGTACAGAATCATGCTAGAAATGTTCCCATCCTCAGGATAGTAGATGAATCAGAAGGGGATTATATAGAGGGAGAAATTGTCAGGAAAGGATTCGAGAGATTGGAGAAGCAGTTGCTGCAGTTCACTAAGAATGAGATCACAGCTGAGAAGTATAAACTCATCTAAAGGAGATAAAAATGATGTCGGGGTTTTCTCAGATAATGCTAAGGTGATCATCTATGAGTTTCTTAATTCAGCTGAGATTGCCTACATGGGATGGGGAAATTCTGTACAGAGAGCTAACACGCTGTATAATCGTCATCTATTGGAGGAGATCAAGAGCAAGCTGATCAACAAGTCAGTGGTTGGCTCAGCAGTATTGTGAAGGATCTAGGATCGTCAGTGATATCCTCAATAATCTTGCAATCAAACCCAAGCATGGAGTCAATGATAATAATGCCAAGTATACCTTCTTCTCACACATCTCTAGTGCACTACAGGGAGTAGAGAGATTATCCAAGATTACTGAGATAAACAAGATAGAATTGGAAAGTTGCTTGTATTTCTGGGCAACGTTGAGTAGTCTGGCTTTGAAACATATCCATGGATGAAGAGGATGTGAGTATCCTGTTCTCTGGATTCAGCATGAAACTGAGGTGATCTCCAGGTTGGTAAAATCCCTGGCAAGATAGGCTGAGCAGACCTATAGTGTCCTGGCACTCCATGCTATGGTTCCATGTAATGCAATTTTGACTGACATCTCACAGCCATTTGTTGCATTCAGGGGTTAAGTTTTACAACTTTTAAAGAAATGCTCCAATTTTAAACATAAAATGCTGTGTAAAATATCAAATATTATAGGTGTTAATTGATCTTGGTAACTCTCTTATCTAACCAAAACCAGTTTGTATTGTAAACTTTACCCTAAATCTGTTCATTTTTACGTCAGTTACACTTACTATTTTGATACAGAAGTATTATTGTTAAGATCTGTTTACCGCACATTAAGCTGTTAATAAGGCATTTCAAAAATCGTCAAAAATTGAACAAATATTTGCTTACATTTTGAGTAAAAATTGCACAAAATTTGACGTTTTTGTGCATTGATGTGCAAAAGCTATTTCGTGCAAATTTTGAAGAAAATCTTGGTAGTTTCGTATTTTGTATTTTCCTGCTATTTGTTATTTTGAGCTATTTTGTTACTTCGTTTAATTTCAAGAAATTGTATATGAATTCAAAATTAAATTAATCAGAGTTACAGGCTGTGCCTGCAAACTATACTCCAGCCCACTCGGCACTCACACCTGCGGGCCTAATGGGTCCCAATTCTCAGGTTTTAGGTCACCGAACCGTACCAACTATTTAACCGTTTCCTCGCAATCAATCTCAAGTAGTAACTGAGTTATTCGCGAATTTATTAATCATAATCACATTTCACTAATCATCAGTCCGGTTTGAACTTGAAGACAAGCAGGGTTAAATGGAAGTTGTTTTTTACTGAAACTAATTCACACCATACTGTCCTAATATATTAAAATCTTTCATATTTATGCTCTTGGCATGCAACACATAATTACTTAATTTTGTTTTCATGAACATTATATATTTCAAATAACTGCACAATTTCATGCAAAACTGGTTTCATATTGATACATAAATGATGCAGAATTTCAGTTCAAAAAAGTCATTTAGTGCAAAACCACACAACTGTTGTTCAAGAGTTTTGAATGTTTTGATGGAAACCCTAGTTTTTTTTGCATGCATGATTAGGGATGTTAACGTTTTCATTTTTCAGAAAAACGATTGTTTTGTTATGATAACGACGACGAAAAATCGAAAACGAAACGATCGTATTTCAAAACGATCGTTTTTATAATTTTCGTCATTTCGTTAACGATCGTTAATGACAACCCTTCGTTAACGATCGTCAACAACAACCCTTCGTTAATGATCGTTAACAAAAAACTTTTGTTAACGATCGTTAACAAAGACCTTACGTTAACAATCCTTAACGACGATCGTTAACATAATTGTCAATAAAAAAATTTCAAAAACGATCATTTTTTTTAAAAACAATCGTAAAAAAAACGGTCGCAAATCGTTTTAATAAAAACAATTGTTTTCAAAAACGATCGCTATTTGTTTTTTAAAAGTTCAAAACGAGTGGTCGTTTTTAAAAACAATTGTTTTTTTTGGAAAACGAAACGATCGTTTTTGAAAACGAAACAAAAAACGATCGTTTAACAATCGTTTAAAAAAACGATTAACAACCCTATGCATGATACCAATTACAATGACATATATTGTTGCATTCAACCATTCAACTTCTTATTAATATGTTTAAAAATATTAACAGTTTATACTTCCCTAAGTATCATATTCAAAAAACCAATATTAATTTTTTTTTGTAATCAGATTCTACTAAATTTTTATAATAGAAAAGTAGATAGAAAGAAAAAAGATGTATAGCGATAGAAAGATAGATAAATAGGTAATAGGATGATAATATATTATAGATATTAGAAGATATTACACCCTTTGACATATTTCAAAACGTTTTGATTTCTGAATTAAAGTGTACAAAAATATTAGTAGTAGAATTTAAACCATATTAAGAAAAATGAGGTACAACTTTAAAAGACATAATGATTTTAAGTTAATATTGTGTTCCTAAACAAAAAAGTTCTTTTATAATTATTTATAAATTTTCCGAAGTAGTGCAGGTTGATCATATATAATTCTAGTTAGTTGGAAAATTTGTAATATGTTTATATATTTAAGTTTTATACATATTTAAATGGATATAATTATTTAAATCTAAGTATGTTTATATATGCATAGCACAATAGTAACACAATAGTTTTTCATCAATTGAAAAAAACATTTACTCAATAGAATATAATTAGTAATAGTAATTACATCTTTTTATTTTTATTTTTATTTAAACTTCTGTATATCAAATTTCTAGTTAGTAAGTATTATATTCAAATGAGACTTGTTATACACATATATTTTCAAATTTTTCTAATTGTAAGTTTAATCTTAATAATTTTCTTTATTTAAGAAAATATAAGCATCATTTCAGTGATCCTCTATGCAAATATGACAAAACCTGATTTACATCAGTACCTTAATTAAATATTTATTGTTATAATAGGCTTGGCCTGTGAAATCTCAACAGGACAAAGAAAAGGTACTGGAAGCTGAATTTTTAATACTGCTGATTGTTTATTAGTTTATTTTAAAAGCTTTAAAGCTTTTAAAATGATTTTTGGATATAGAACATTCATTGCAATATGGTCTATAAAAGCTAAAAGTAAAACATTTGTAATTTGTATAGATGACTACTGTTTTTTCTACAGATTTTGTAATTTTTAAGAGCTTATTTATTAATAAAGTTAACTTGCTGGATTTATTTAATAATTATAAGTAATTTTTGAAATTAGGATTGGCCTGTGAAAGTTCAAAGTAATGCCAAAGAGGTATAGTGATTTTTAAGCTCTTATGTGAAGGGATTTCTGAATTTTTTACTAATAAGATTAATTTTTTAAAACTAGTTGGATTTAATTATAAATAATTATTTTACCTAGGATTGGCCTGTGAAAGTTCAAAGTAATGCCAAAGAGGTATAGCGATTTTTAAGCTCTAATGTTAAGGGATTTCTGAATTTTTAACTTATGAAATAAATTTATTTTAAAAGATTGTTGTATTTAATTATAAATAATTATTGTACCTAGGATTGGCCTGTGAAAGCTATTAGTAACAACAAAGAGGTAACACATTTGTAGATTATATAGAAAACTACTTTGCCATTATTTGTACAAATTTTTTAATTTTAAAAAGGTATGTTTAACTTATGGTATTATTTTATTCAAAAGCTTGTTAGATTTATTTATAAATAATCATTGTGATTAGAATTGGCCTAAAAAAACTCAGAGTAATAACAAAGAGGAAATACATTTACTGAATTTTTAGATAAATTGTATTTGTATATGTATGAATTTCTGAATTTTTAAAAGGAATGCATAACTTATAGAATAAGAATATTTAGAAAGCTTGTTGGGTTTAATTATAAATAATTATTGTAATTAGGATTGGCCTGTGAGCGCTCAAAGTAAAACCAAAGAGGTAATATATTTCTGCATTGTGTAGAGAAGGGACACTTCAGGGATTTCTCCTTCTATAACCAGCTCTTTTCAAACACTTCATCAAAACTAACTCAATCAGAGTTTAAACTTAGCAGTTCATTATTACTCTCTTCCCGTGAATCCATTATCATGTATCTGTCCCAACTCGGTTTAGCTGGCCTGATCCACCTAACTGTTATCTAGAGTTTAATAGTTTCTTGGGCATGTCAAAGAAGAACGTGTGCACTCTCAGTACAGCACTATTATTAAGTCACAAGTGTCAATTTAGTTTATGTGTCTGACAAAATTATTAATAATAGTGATAATTTTAAAATAAAGTGATTATCTTACAGTAAAATAATTGTAATTTTATGAATTCTTTATTTTCTGTTAATACAATTTTTTTTAAAATCTTGGAAAACATGTCAACTAATGTGAGAACATTTTGTGTTCCTTGTAATATTTGACACTTGTGACATTATGCATAAATGGTCTATTTCTCTGTTGCCACCTATTGCACTTGATAATCTATTTGGTATAGACAACTATTCCATATTTGTATGAATGTATAACTTATTTTTTTAACTTATTTTAAAAGCTTATTGGAATAATTATATAAAATTATTGTAATGAAGATTGGCCTGTGAAAGCTCAAAGTTTTACCAAAGAGGTATATTTGTGAATTGTTTGTATAACCACTTCTTATTTGTATAATTTTCTGAAGCTATATATAACTTGTAGGATTTTGTGAACTGTACAGAATGTGTCTTGTATAACTTATGAAAATAATTAAATATTGTCATTAGTTTGGGTCTGAGAAAGCTCAGAAGAACACCAAAGATGCACCAGAAGTAATACATTTCTAGATTGCAGAAAACTGTTACTTATTATAGTTTTTTTAAAAACATTAAAATTCACAAAATGCCTTAAACATATAATTTGTTGAGGTATAAGCTATTTTTTTACATTGTAAGCACTTGTTCAAAGACTGATTTTATGAGGTCTGTTAACAAACTTGTATTTCAGGATTCTATCGACTGCAGAAATGATACATCATCTTGCCATGCAGACATTGCGTACTGTCAACCTAAAACAAAATTATGTGTTTGCTATAATGGGGCATCTACATATCCATCATGTGGCAAAAGAGTTGGAACAGCTTGTGACGAATGTACTGATCTAGAATATTGTGATTTGAAGGAGGGAACCTGTATGTGTAAATGGGGAGGGTTTGCTCCAGATTGTGCAACAAAAGATTGCGGTCCTTATGCAATGTTTCTTAAAGGAGAGTGTAAGTGTATGTATGGGGAAAAAAATGATGGTAAAGGCTGCGCCACTTGTGCTAAAAACTGTGGAAACGGAGCCACATGTGAAGCAGAAGGTATGACTTGGAGAAAAATTCTATTATTAATCTTCAGTGAAGGAGGCTGGAAGGCCAGCCTCAACACTTCTGTCACCCAGTCACATTTTCATCCTTTTCTCTTCTAAGCAGAGCCACCTAAATGTCCTCATCCTTGTCCTTGATATCATTTCCTAATCTATGTATAAATTTGGCTTGTCTGTTTGTCTGTTTGTTTGTATCCAATAAACGTCAAAACGGCAGAACCTATCAGCCCAAATTTTTTGTGGGACATCTAGGGACCCCAGGGAAGGTTTATGAATGATCAAAATTTCAAATATTTGTCTCCATCAAAATTCGATCTTCATAAAATTTTTGAAAATTTTGAAAATCCATGAATTTTTTTGTGAAAATCCACGAATTATTTTTGTTTTGTTTTACGATGTACACAAAGAGAACATGTTCACAATTAATTTAAAAGATGGGCGCGAAGCACCCTTTAAGGATAGTTAATTAAATTATAATTACCAAAGGTTATAAACCTTTTTTTGAAGATCAGATTAATTTTGTATTTTGCAAGTTATCTATTAGATGGTGAGAATAAATTCAAGATTCGCCCAAAAAATGATGGTGTACTGAGAAGAGCACATATAATCAAACTAAAATCAGACATAGCTTATTATATGACTTGATTTGGCCAGATTTTTTAAATAGATTTAAATAATCAAGAATTCTGTTTTTTAAACTCCCTTTCTTTTTAGAAACTAAACCATATTCCATTTGTTTCAGGGCCATTTCATCAAGAATGCATTTGCAAATATGGGGGAAAGTTTCCAAAGTGCAAGAGGAAGAGAGTATGATCATTATTGCATAAAACAATGAAAAAGAAAGTGTGTACATATCAACAATATTTTATTAAGGTATGGACCAAATGGAGTACGTGGTCTAAGTGTACTACTACTTGTGGTAAAGGCACAAGAACTAGAAGTAGAAAGTGTCTTAATAAAAATGGAAAATGCAAGGGGAAATATGATGAAAAAGCTGATTGTGAGCAAGCTGTCTGCAATGTGTCATGTAAATGGTGTCAATGGAGTGAATGGACAAGACCTGCAAATAATACAACATGTGGTAAGGCAACAAGGTCTAGAAAGCCAAATTGTCCTGCAGTGGCTGGTGGGGGATACCCATGCCTTGGACAAACAACTCAGGAGAAGGAAGGTTCAGATTTACCTGCTACAGCAGCCTTTGGGATTGATTATCATCGTTTACAAGACTGGCGAAAAAATAGATTTGGTGTTACTTGTCCAGGAGGCTGTTTTGAAGTTACAAAGGTAAGCATCATGCTTCCTAACATTTATGTGATCATCACATAATGTCTTGTAATTATTTGTTTGGCTTCTGAAAGCTTCATAGGTAAACAACCTTTATTTTTATCATATACATTTTTTATTATCTAAAGTATAGTTGGACAGGCCTTTCAACTTCTCCCGGTATTGACAAAATTCATAATATAATATTAGCTTTGATTATTTTTCATTGTTTATTTCTAAACTTTGGCAAACAAACTGAGCTTAAGACAAATTTCATCATTTGACCCTCCAAATTTGATTTAGTTTCTTGTTTTGAATGGTTTCTTGCATGACTCCTGACTCCCCCTCCCCCATCCCTGATTCTTTTCCCCTCTCCCTTTCCCCCTCCTCTATTCAACCAAAAGAGAGATTAACTTGCAATTCCCGGTCATGCTTACTCTTTCTAAATTTATATCTTGTTCTATTATCATTTATTCATTTAAACATTTCTGGTTCTCTGGTAGCTGTACCTATTGAGATACTAACATACTAACAGAGGTTTTACTTCACTTTTGACATAGCTAACAAGATTGCACTTAGTGGTAGTGGCCTTGATGGTTCACAGAATTGTAGACGTGTGGATTGTGTCATGTTTGAGACTTTGATCAATTGATTGCTATTGTTTGGTTGACATAGTTAACAAGATAGCACCCAGGGGCAGTGGTGTTGATAGTTCAAGGCCGAATGTAGCCATGTGGATTGTGTCCTGTTTGAGACATTGATCAATTGATTGCTATTGTCCGGTTGACATAGCTAATAAGATCATGCCCAGTGGTACTGGTGTTGATAGTTCACAAGATTGTAGCTGTGTGGATTGTGTCCTGGTTGAGAAATTGATCAATTGATTGCTAGTGTCCGTATTGACACCGATAGCTAATGAGATCCTGCCCAGTGGCAGTGGTGTTGATAGTTCATGGGATTGTAGCTGTGTGATGACTTTGATAGTCAAGAGAATCCGAGTTGTACCTGGATAGATGATGTAATCAAGAAATTGCCATGGAGTAGGCTTTTACTACATCCATACTATTATTTTACCTCAAAAGAGCTTTGTAAATTAATTAATTAATCTTCTTGTTTATCCTCCAGCTGAAGTGTCTTAAGCACATATTTTGCTTGGCTGTTTAGAACCACCGACAGAGATCTTGTGTATTATGCACTGTTCTTTCTTGTGATCCTGTTCATTGCTTCTTTAAACATTGAAGTAAGCTAATTGTAGCTGACTGCTTTAATGTTTTTTACTTCCCTTGTGTGCATAATTCCAAGATTTTTTCCTTTTTCACTACTTTACCTTTTCTTAGATTGTTTATTTCACGTATCAGTGTTTTTGCTTGATCAATTGCATATCCTGTCATTGTACTGAGTGAGTTATAGAGGTCTAGGGAGAAAAATGTTTATCAAAGTCCTTAAAAAAAAAAAAAAAAATTAATATATTGTGGAAGACGATTCCTGGCCGCGTTAAACAAGTTCCACAAGATTCAACAGAATGAGATAGAACGAATACGGGGCAGAGTACTGATAAAACATCTACACGTGTGATATTGATATTGACTCTAGTTCTGAACCCTCTAGTAATAAGTTATAAGAAATATATATACTGGAAGTTATTTATGCGTTTTTATTAGTCTGACTCACATCCTCTATAATATCATATTTTTAAAAAATATTAATCTTAAATTTTAAATTTTAACAATATTCTTTAAATAGTTATATTATAGCAGATGTAAATATTATGACATTTCTAAATTTCTTGTTCTTCATTTTCTTCTTGTTTAAACATCTTTCAATCACATTTAGCTAATTTTGAAAAAGAAGAAATGTTTTGGAACATCCTGCAGTTTGCAAAGCTGCAAGCTTTAGGACCAGGTTAAGGTGCCTCTTTTCCAGCCTCATCTCCAATGTTGTCTCCATTTGCTAATGAAATAAATTGAGTGTGTAAAGCATATCATTGGAGAGTTCCCTTTCCATTTTTCCTATTAAATTTTTTTTTTTTTTTTTTTTATGTGTTGAGGTCTCTTAATATAATTCTTGTGACATCAAATTGTGGCGCAGGTAGGAAACAGATAAGGAAGTTTGGAGGAGGAAGGGTATGAGGGATATCAGTAGAAGATCCCTGCTTTCCTTTGTATTAAAGTCTTTCCGACTCAAGTGGAATTAAGGAAACCCATAACTGCACTGCTTATGCAAAATAGGGAGTTGAAAGCCTTAAAGCCACATCACATGGAATCTTCTACAGTAATCCAGTCCTCACAGCTGACTGAGTAAAAAAACGGTATCATTGTGCATGGCTTGTATACCTATCAGGGGTTAAAAATATGTGTTTCTTTTTCAGCTGAGATGTTGATAAGATGATAAGGTGAAGATGTAGGTCTTGTATACTGTTTCACTCCTATGTTTTGCTACTCCCCTGTAGGATAAGTCAGGAGCAACTCTATGCATCTCTCTTTTATAAACATAAACTGGTTCTTCAATTCAAATCAAATCAAATAAAACATTATAACACATTAAACAATTTATGAAAATAAGAATATGGTTAAATTTACTACAGCAAGGGAGCTCAGATTTCTTGATTTGCAGTTTACTCATTGATTTTTAGAACAACTTCACTTCGACATTTTGTGAAAACTTTCGCAAAACACTATTGCTGGTTTGTGCAACAGAGGCTTAAAACTAGAATATACAATTTTTATTTAAAATATTATCTCCATCATAACTGCATACAAAAAAATTGAACATTATGAAAAGAGTTTTCTGCTTAATTTTGCCTTATACAAGTTCTCATCTAAAATTCAAAGTTTTTCAAATTGCACTGCAGGTTAGAACATGTTTTTAGTGAAATCTTGAATTTGTTGATAAAAAAATCAAGTATCTTAACCATTTGCCCTTGCTTTGAAAGGAGCTAAGTGCCTAGAAGAGGTAAACTGCAGGACTGTCCCTGCCTTGTTAGTTGGTTCCATTTTAGAATATGTCCTGGAGTTTGGAATTGTTTGCACTTTTTACAATATATTATTCTTACACTTTATCAAGGCTGTTCATGATTGTGAGGCAAGAATGCCTACAGAAGCAGAATTAAAGCTAGTTCGAGATCATTGTGATGGAAAAGAAACTTGTGAGTTTATTCCTGGAGATGATTTTTTTGGAACTGATCCTAACTCTGTTAACTGTTCACGGAAAACCTGGATGGGATGGAAGTGCAATGGGAACAACAATTCAATGATTATTAGTTTTGACACTGAACCTATACATGATCCCTACCCTATTTAACTATTAATAAACTTAAAATATAATAAAACTTAGATTTAGACTCAGGCTTATTTGATTAAAACTGAATATTTGAATTAAAAAATGTTTCACAATTAAATTATATATTTTTTTAATATTTGTTGAAGTATTATACAAATGTTGCGACTTATTTCTGATGGCGTTCCAGTACATTACAGTGCAAATTATTGCATTGTTATTGTTTACATTATGCTTTGTATATAAACCTGTTATGTTCAATTTATATTCAGTTGAAGTCTTTGCTACTTTTCTTGCTTGGATTGACTTATTTTGCACATTTTTTAAATAGATATTACAGTAAATATTTTTAATTTTGCAAATTTGCTAACTGTTTTTGCAGATTATTTAAGAACGCCCATGGGAGGTAGGGATGGCTGCTATAGGGGTTTTGGAATTGCTTCCAGGGTTTTTGAGTGCTCCCAGGATTTTAGAGTTGCTCCCAGGGTTTTGGAGTAATATGTGAAAACCCTGGTATTAAAAGTCTTTTAAAAGGGGTAATTGCAAAAAAGAGCTTTGCTATCCCTCTTTTTTACTGTTTTTGTTCAGATATTTGCAAGGATGCTTTCAGACCCAACATTACATTCCTTCCCTGTAAAATTAATGTTAAATAATTACTATCCCCTTCATTGGGGCATATTTCAATGAAACATTTTGAGTTTTTTTTAATGTTTACAATATTCTATTTTTTCAATTTATTATTTCTAACGTTTATAAATTTTATAAATTTGATACAGTTGATACAGAAAAATTCAGATTTGATTCATCTTCTTCCTTTTTTCTTTTCCTTTTGTTGACTGTCCCTGATTCTAATAATTTTGAAAAAAATTGAAAATTCATCAAAACCAGTATTTTACGGACACTCTGCTGAATGTAATTATTTTTAGTGTTTTCTATTTTGCAGTATTGCTGACTCTTCTTGTTGCTGTAACCGGGAACGTCTGACCAAGAGGAAACAAACCTATTGAGTTTCCAATCNAGATAGATATTTGAATAGAATTGGAAATATATTTAGGGTTGCTATTAAAAATTTTAGGTCAGTTGGGAATAAATTTTAGATTGGTTTAAGCAACAATTTTAGGTCGGTTAAGGAATATTTTTTAGGTCGGTTGAGCAATATTTTTAGGTCAGATGAGCAATATTTTTAGGTCGGTTGTTCAATATTTTTAGGTCGGATGAGCAATATTTTTAGGTCGGATGAGCAATATTTTAAGGTCGCTTGAGCAATATTTTTAGGTCAATTGAACAATTTTTTAGGTGTTGAGCAATATTATTTTTCGATAAAATTAGTATTTATTCAGGGTTAGGTTAGGTTAAGACACTTTCTGTGATGAGCGCTGCGGCTAGGTCAGGCTAGTGGGCCAATCGCTGCGGCCACGGGTTAGGTTAAGTTATGACACTTTCTTTTTTTAGGGTTAGGTTAGGTTAAGACACTTTCTGGGCTGAGCGCTGCGGCTAGGACAGGCTAGGGGGCCGAGCGCTGCAGCCATGGGTTAGGTTAAGTTATGACACTTTCTTTTATTTAGGGTTAGGTTAGGTTAAGACACTTTCCTTGTCGTCAATAAATAAAATATTAAATAAATCTAATATTGAAATGACATTATTTAGAAGTAAAAAAATGTATTTTTCATTGTCCATACCCTTTTTTTCTATTAAAAAAAACTCTAATTGTAATGACATTGACTATTATTTTAGAATTTGAATCATTTAGAATATGTTGACTTAAAATCTAAAATATCTGAAGTATCTGCACATTTAAATTATTTTCGTGCAAATTTAAAAGATATTCAATTTTAAAATCAACCTTTTTTAAAAAAACAAACAATGTAACAACTCGCTATTCAGGGCCTGAATAGTTCAGGGGTAATTACCTCCAAGATTCTAATTCTAGAGGGAGGGGGTAATTACCCCCAAGATTCTAGGGGGGGAGTGCATTGAGTACTAATTAGATGTTGCATCGCAATATTACTATGTTGAGAACTATATTGGTGCTATGAGTGCTATGGCTGTAGATTAATGAATAAATAATAATCTTATGGAACTTAGAAAAATGTATTTTTTTTCAAGTTTTATGCAAACCTAAAAATATGTATATTTTCGTAAATTTCATACCAAGAAATGTTTTAAAGCTTTTAGGTTTTTATTTAACGTATTTTTACGTATTTTTTAGGGGTTTTCTTTACTTAAAAAGTTGTATAGTTCTGTAAGAAATTTAATGCAAACATTTTGGAATATGCAATGTTTCAAGATTGCTATCATTTTTGAGTAAATTGATGTTTTCATTAGAATCGATGTCAGTAAGTTCTCGATTTTTTGATAAATAGAAGTTTTACTTTGACAGTCTTGTAACAGGTAAAATGGTAATTGTATAAATTGAATCCATAATTGTTGAAAGTACAGACAAAATGTATATATTAATGTTGATTTAGATGGATACAGGTGAAGGAATGTTGATGGTGTGAATTTCTGTGGACAGAAAATTGGATTAATAATTGGATAATTAATATCAATGAATATGGATTTAAGAAAATTGTGGAATTAGTTGTGTAGAAATGAAGGAAGGGGTTACTTCAGGTATTTGTTCCTGGGGGAGCTCAGCACCCTTTGGGGTCTGAAAACCCCCTGAATTCAATAAATTTTACTGGTCCAGGGGGGGGGGGCTTAGCCCCACTCCCCCCCCCCTGAATACACCTCTGAACAATGCCCATGCAAAATTATAGTCCACTTATTAACATTTTGGTTTTAGAATATGTATTTTTACGTATATATAAAACCTAAAAATTCCAAAAATTAAGAAATGTTAGGATTTTTTCAAACCTAACAAAAATTCCTGATTCATTGGATTTTTTAGATTTTTTACATACACATTTTTACGTTTGTTAAATATGTATTTATACGGATATAATAACATTTTGGTTTTAGAATATGTATTTTTACGTATATATAAAACCTAAAAATTCCAAAAATTAAGAAATGTTAGGATTTTTTCAAACCTAAATCTACGTATAGGAAAAACCTAAAAATTCCTGATTCATTGGATTTTTTAGATTTTTTACATACACATTTTTACGTTTGTTAAATATGTATTTATACGGATATAAAATACGTATACGGAAAAGGTTACAAAAATATGTATGTCATACTATGTAAAATACGTATTTTTTCGTATTCCTAAACCTAAAAATATGTATATATACGTATGTCATACATATTTTTAAGTTTTTGGGGTGAGTAGGGTAGGTTAGGTAAAGACACTTTCTGGGCAGAGCGCTGCGGCTAGGACAGGCTAGGGGGCCGAGCGCTGCGGCCACGGGTTAGGTTAAGTTATGACACTTTCTTTTATTTAGTGCCGGCTTGCAACTGTTTTAAAAATTTATGAAAGTGTAATATAGCAGATGATTTTGTAGTTCAATTTTTGTAGCTCAATTTTCTTCTTACCAGTTTCGCCAATGCATATTTTTCCTGTGGGGCCCTACTAAAGAAACCAAACAGCTCGATATAAAATGGAGTACCGTCTGCAAAGCATGTATATTCATATGGTAGGGCGAACCGCGTCAGTTGTCTCTCCCTTCTATTCCTTACTCCCTGAATTTGACTGGTCTATTCCTTTTGGCTGGATGTGGCTCTGACTATTCTAAAAAGTTTATCTTCTAAACAAAGGATAACTATTCTTACTTCAATGAACAACTCAAGTCTAAAAATGCATTATTTAGAAGAAGCCTTCATGAAACATTTAAGAACAGTATTATCAAGAGTTTATGTTATATTGTAAAAAGAAAGTGGCTGGAACATGGAACATATTTGTTTTCTTTAACGATAAAGTAAAAATTTGGTACAAATGTTTCTTTCCAGTTTTATATGCATTAAATAATGTTAAATTCAAAATTCTTTTGCAAATCTAGGTTTTGAGATAGAGGAGAGGTTTACGTGGCAAATAAGAATATAGAACACAAAAATACTAAATGGTAAAGCACCCATCGGGTTTAATTTTAGTTTTCAAACTAGAAGAGAAAGAAAAGACCATCTTTAAATGATAGAAATTTACTTGAAAATATATTCTTTCGCATACGAAATTTGATTTCACATGTAAAGGAAAGTATAGAAAAAAAATTTGTTCTCCCTCCCATGTTCAAAGGAATTGAGTTTTTGCCACAACCTAAATTTTTCTAATTCTTTTCTAATTCTAAACCAGTGGGTATAAACCTTTGATATTTCAAACTTAGATAATTTGATCTAACATAATTATTAGTTTGAAATATCTAAGGTCTACAACATTGGGTTGCCAAAATATAGGGATAAGAATATTTGAGTTTGTGGCAAAAACTCTGTTCCTTTGGACTTGGATTCTGTATAATACTTATTTATCTAATGTGCAATAAAAAGTTTTTGCTGTTATATACATCTATATAATAAAGCTATTCACTCATATATATATGTTAGCTATTGCTGGCCAAACGGATGGACCTATGGCTGAATTTGTTTAGGTAAAATAGGCTAAAAAATTCGATTTTTTCCCCAATTTCGATTTTTTCAAAAATCTATTTTTTTCTTCTTCAAAATTCAATAAAAAATGTCAAGTGTTTATAAACTCTATTGTTACATATATGAAGAATGAACTTATTTATTTTCTAGCATTGTTAGATCCTTTATTAACCCTTTTCTTAATGAGGAAGGGTGTCTACACTCTCGCCCCCCCCCCATCCTTGTTTTTGGACATAACATAAAAGGTATATGTTTGAGACTAATTTTATAATCAAGAATTCAAAACTATCTTCCAGTCATTGGATTCCAACATGTTCTTTGAGACGCCAAAGATAAATGTAATATTCCTGTTCTTCTGAACATCCATGATTTGAATTGTGATTCCTTAAGAAAACTGACTTCAGTATGTAAACGACAGAGACAAATAAGGAATTTTATTGAATCTCAAAATTTGTAATGTAGGAAAAATGGCAATATTCTTTCATTGTTGTTTATTTGTACATTAATAACATTTGTGCAAATCAGACAAAGGAGTTGAGTTTT